AGAGGCGTAGGAGTGGGCAAGAGGGGAAGGGGAGCACACCCTCAAAGAGGGGAGTGCGTGGAGTGCCACGAGCAGTGCTACAGCTAGAATAACTCTTTTCTGCTGCTAGGAGCTCCTGCTCGAAGTCGCGACTGTAAGAGTGTAGGATCTTTGGCGAGGAAGTGGTCCCTGACTGAACTGAGAGTGTCAGGGAGGCGGGTGACGAGGAAGTAGAGGGTAAAGTACATCAGAGGGGGATTCTTGGCGAGGAAATTAACTGTAAGAGCGGCGTAAAAGCGAGCGTCACTAGCGCGAAGGTGAGAGATGAGTTCTCAGCAGTGGGGAAGGAGGACAGGTCAGGGAACAGGTAGGGCAGGATGAGGCGATCTAGGGCTGCAGTGGCAGGGGAAGAGTAGCGCGCAACTACACAACAACAGCGTCATACTGCCTTGGCAGTCTTGTGCTGACTAAAATGCGCGCGCTCAGTGATCGGCAGGTGGTTGCGAATAGCGAGGCGCACAGCAGCATCACGAGTCAGCCACTGTGAGCGGTCAAGAGTGGCAGCAGTGTCAGCAAGAGCAACGGAAGTGCCAGACGGGTGATCGAACAGCGAAACTTTATCTTTGGCATCAGTCATGAGAAACAGTTGCAGATCGTCGAGCCAGGTGGCGAACTCTATCGGGCGACCGTCAGGCTCAAACGCGAGAACATTGAACGTCGCCACAGTCGTAGCGGAGGCAAAGGCCGCAGGCAAAGGCAGCAGTGAAGGCAGCAGGATAAGTCAGCAGGCAAAGCGAGTCTGTGCGCAGGGCCGGAGAGGAAGCGCGTAAGCGGTAAGGACGGCGCGCAAAGCAGCAGCGGGCCGCGTGCAGGCTGCAGAGGCGCGGCGCGAGCAGGTAGGGCGATGTGGGGGCTGCAGCGGGCCGGCGCGGGGCGATGCGCGGGGCAGTAGGCGGGCGCGCGCGGGCTGCGGAGGCTCGGCGCGTGCAGCGCGGGCGGTGCGCGGGGTGTTAGAGATTAAGGATCGAGTCTATGAAGAATAGGTGCCCAAATAACTCAAAATCGTTGGCTTAGAATTCTGGACAGAAACCGCGATTTCACAAGAAACGCCGTCGACGAACAACTAACCGTTCGAATTCCGTCAAAGTCGATTATGTTGTAGCTCTAGACCGTGGCTACAATTCCCAATTTGAATCACCTCAAAAGATGGAGTATATCTCGAGTTATGCTTTTCGGCGCACTAGGGGGTATGCTGCCACACAGAAACTTAACTCACTCACAATGGTTCTCACAAGTTTCACAAAAGTTGCACACACAAGAGTTAGAGTAGCACTAAACCAGGTAGGAGGGGAAGAGGAGGACGAGAGGGAAGGTCCCAAGGAGTCCCCAACCAAGGAAACCCCATGCCACACAATTCCCCTCTCCATAGGCAACCCCACTTTCACATTTGTCACTTTCCCAACTCATGCCATCCACCTCAACCCACTTGGCCACACTTGCCAACCTGGTTTGGCTTCTCCCAACCACATGGCAGCAATCTACAGTGATGGGTTCGAATTCCCAACCCAAAGGTCTGTACCCCATAAAAGTCAACCCCACAACTTCCGATAGTCGCCGCAACCAAAGTACAGAAAGCATACAAACTTCGTAACTTTCTTGATATTGCTCCGATCGCGACGATTCTTGGTTCGTCGGAAAGCTCTTGAGCAGATGAGTCACTTCAGGTATCTGCTCAGGCCAAATAACATTCGCACACACTCAGAAAATCCAAACCGCACAAGCATATGATGGGAGGCAGACAGACGTGAATGCATATGGTTGCATCACACAAGACGGGGCAGTAGCCGGCCGCGCGAGCAGCGTGGGCGGTGCGCGGGGCAGCAGCGGGCCGCGTGCGGGTTGCCGAGGCTGCGCGCGAGCAACGCGGGCAGAGCGCGGGGCAGCTGCGGGCCGTGCGCGGGCTGCGTGGGCTCGGCGCGGGCTGCGTGGGCGGTGCGCGGGGCAGCAGCGTAAGTTCTACGTGAAGCTGTCGAAGAGCGACTTCGCCCTGAAGAAGGTGCAGTTTCTCAGGCACATGGTGAGTGCGGAGGGCGTACACGTGGACCCGCGGAAGATCGAATCCATTAAAAAAGTGGACTATGGAGAACGTGAAAGAGTTGCAGCAGTTCCTAGGCTTCGCCAACTATTACAACAATTCGTGCTATAGTACACTACGATAGTAGCGCCACTCACTGACCTACTGAATTAGTGTACGCCCTTCAAATGGGATACTCCTCATCAGCAAGCCATGGAACAGCTATAGACAGCACTGACCACGGCGCCAGTACTCATCCTACCGCGACCCAGAAAATGACTATGCTGCGGAAGCAGACGCTAGTGACCAGGCAGTCGAAGCAGTACTGATGCAGGATCATGGATGAGGTTTACAGCCTATCGCCTACCTCAGTAAGAAGCTACATGGAGCAGAACTGAATTACCCCATTCACGATAAGGAAGCCTTAGCCATATTCGTAGCCTTCAAGGCATAGAGGTGTTACCTAGAGGGAGCCAAGACTTCAATTTGTACTGACCACTACAGCCTCAAATACCTGAAGTCGCAGCAGACGCTCTCATGACGATATGTACGGTGGGTGGACTTCCTAGAAACACACTTCCACAACGACATCGTCTACAAACCTAAGCTACACAACAAAGCTGACGCGTTGAGCCGCCCCGGTCATGTAGCAGGCATCCAGCTCGACGGGATGAACCCTCTGCTCAAGGGTCTATTCCAACATGGGTACTCCGTGGACGGCGAGATCGCAACGGCAGAGAAACAGAAGCTGTTACAGTGGGAGAAAGACTTAGCGGTAAGGAAAGGTTCAGGAAAGATTTCGGTACCGAATTACGCCCCGCCCGGCAGATCCTTCTAGAGGAGTTTCATGACGTACCATACGCGGGACACTTCGGGAGCAACAAGACTTAGCGGGAATAAGAAGTATTACTACTGGCCCGGGATGGCAGCAGACGTGCAGCAGTTCGTCACCTCCTGCGACACGTGCCAGCGGATGAAGAGTAGCAAGCAGAAAAAAGCAGGGTTACTGCAGCCTCTACCCGTACCGGAGCAGCCATGGCAGGTCGTTAGCCTCGACTTCATCACAGGACTTCCATCGACCTTACGAGGGCATGACGCCATCCTCGTAGTGATCGACAAGTTCTCCAAAATGGGTCACTTCATTCCGACCAACGCCACAGCTACTGCTGAAGCAACTGCTCGCCTCTTCTTCGACCGCATCATCACCATCCATGGCATCCCCGCTACACTCATCTCAGACAGAGACCCAAAATTCACGAGTAAGTTCTGGAAGGAGCTTATGGGATTGTTGGGGACTAAGCTTGCGATGTCTTCAGCATACCACCCCCAGACTGACGGACAGACAGAGCGTTTCAATCAGGTGGTTGAACAGTTACTGCGCACAGCTTGCAAAAACGACATCAACCACTTGGACATACAGTTCCTGACCCTAGATTTCACTTACAACAATGCCTCGCATGCGGCCACGAGAAAATCTCCTTTCTTCCTGTGTTACGGACGAGAACCACTCACACCACAGCAGCCAACCACACCGGCACACGTCCAAGCTGCACACGACTTCGTCACCACCATGCAGCAGTTATGGGAGAAGACTCAGCGACGTCTCACCACAATGCAGAACTCCCAGAAGCAGTATGCCGATCGTCAGCGACGAGATCACTCAGTAGCAGTTGGAGATCAGGTACTTCTTGACACGCTCAACTTAAACTTGTCTCACCTCCCATCCAAACTCCGGCCTCGCTTCTGTGGTCCTTTTCTCATTGAGGTACAGGTGACACCAGTTACATTCCGCTTGCGCTTACCTTCTACGTGTTGTGATTCTATCATTCGCATTCACGTTTGTCAGCCTTCCATCATATGCTTGTGCGGTTTGGATTTTCTGAGTGTGTGTGAATATTATTTGGCTTGAGCAGAATCTGAAATATTTGCTCTGCTCGAGAGCTTTCCGACGAACCAAGAATCGTCGCGATCGGAGCAAGAATAAGAAATTTACGGACATTGGAGTTCGTATGCTTTCTGTACTTTGGTTGCGGCGACTTTGGGAAGTTGTGAGAGTGACTCAATATGGGGTACAGACTTTTGGGGTTGGGAAATTCGGTCCCATCACTGTAGATGCTGCCATGTGGTTGGGTGAAGCCAAAGGTTAGCAAGTGTGGCCAAGTTGGAGTGAGGTGGATTGTGGAGGTTGGGAAAATGACAAGGGTGAAAGTTGGGTTGCCTATTGAGAGGGAAATTGTGTGGCATGGGGTTTCCTTGGTTGGGGACTCCCTTGGGACCTTTCCTCTCGTCATTCTCTTCCCTCCTACCTGGTTGATGCCTACTCTAACTCTCTTCTGTGCATCAACTTGAGAACTTGTGAGAACAATTGTGATTGAGTTAAGCTTGTGTGGCAGCATACCCCCTAGTGCGCCGAAATTAATATCTCGCGAAATACTCCACCTTTTCATGTGATTCGAATTGGGACTTGTAGCAACGGTCTAGAGCTACAACATAAATGGTTTTCGTGAGATTACAGCAGTGCAATTTTCGTCGACAACGTTTCTTGTGAAGTCGCGGTTTCTGTCCAGAAACTAGGACCAACGATTTTGTGATATTTCTGCCACTATTCTTCATAGACTCCGTCCTTAATCTCTAACAAGTGGTATCAGAGCTGATTAAGGACTTTGTGGGGAGTCTACTGAAGTGTGAAGACCCTCTTAGACCCACCATGGCCTGTGGGCGTGCCTAAGTGGAGTTCTGGAGGTTGGGAGTAACTTCCGCTAAGGGGAAACTCTGCCGAAATTTTGTTGGCGCCGACACTTGTGAAAATTGTGTGGGACTTCGGTGTGGACAGCAAAGGGGGGAGCTAAAACCTCTGATTGGGAGCAGAGGAGATGAGTCAAGGGAGTGGAGAAGCAGCTGAGAAGAAGAGTGAACCGCCACCATCCAAGATCGAAGCTTTGGATGGCTCCAACTATGAGGAATGGAGCGGGCGGATGCGGAGCGCCTTCAAGCGCTACAAGCTCCGGAAACTTGCGATGGGAGAAGAGAAGATGCCGGAGGAAGGCGACGCCCGGGATCGATGGATTGAGCGGAGCGCGGTGCTGTACGACCTCATCCTTCAATCGGTCAACAACGATATGTTCCAGCATATCAAGGATTTGGTGGAGCTGGACGACTCCGGACCGAAGGCGTGGAAGCTGCTACGCGACGTGGTACAACCCAACACGCTGCCGATGGTGATTGTGTTGGAGAAGGAGCTGGCGGCCCTCTCCATGCGACCGGAGATGATGTGAAACCGGTCCTTGACAAGATCAAGGACACATATGCGAGGATGGCAGCGGCGGGCAGCAAGGTGTCGGAGATGCAGCAGTGCACCAAGATCATCTCGGTGCTCGACAACTCGTGGGACAACCTCATCCCCACCCTCAACGTTCAGCAGGACAAGTGGACGCCTGAGTGGCTACGGCAGCAGATCCTGCAGGAGGACTTCCGCAGGCGCCACACGGGAGGTGGTGCTGCCAACAAAACTGCTGAAGGGTATGGAGCTGCAGGAGGCAGCAGAGGAAGAGGGGGAGGGAGAGGCCGAGGCCGTGGGAGAGGCTTTGGCAGAGGAAGAGGCCGAGGTGACTACAACGAGGGGCATGGGAGCTCTGGTGGCAGGGGGAGCACCCGAATGGAGGGTGCGTGCTGGTACTGCAAGAAGGCTGGACACCCGTGGTTCAAGTGTTTCAGCCGACCTGAAGGATGGGCGCCCCCAGGCATGAAACCGCCAAGTGGTGAACGTGTACGAGGTGGCGCTGTGTAAATAAGGTTCAGGTGCACAAGGTGATGGTGCACAAGGTAAAGCCGACCCTGGGATGTTCCTCATGGTTGAGGATGTGAAAGAGAGTGAGGATGATGTGGGTTCGGTTGGGAAGGTTGTGATGCACCCCCTCACTCACTGGGTGATCGACTCCAGTTGCACGAGTCACATGACTCCGCGGGCAGATTTACTTGATGAGGTGAAACCCCCTGGGAAGATCAAGTTTGTGGCTGCTGCTTCAGGTGCTTTGCTCCCTGTGATTGGTGTTGGGAATGCCAAGGTGATGGGAGCCAATGGGGGACTTGTGGGGCTTGGGAATGTCCTGCTTGTTGAAGGTCTATCCGCTAACCTCCTCTCTGTGCGCCGGCTGCAGAAAAGCAAGGCCAAAGTTACATTCGGCCCAACGAGCTGCCGTGCAAAGCTTGGGAAGTTGCTGCTGTGGGAGTTGGACAAGAAGAGCAGCAGCTGCATCAAGGACCTGTGGCAGCTGCCCATCATCCCTTGGAATGGGAAACCACCAGCAATGGCAAAGGCAGCGGCAACGGCTAAGGCAACTACGGGAGGAGAGGAGACTGCACCAACTGCTGGGGCCCTGGATGCAGTCAAGAAGGTGCAGAAGCTACAAAAGCATCATGGTGAGGTGCTTGCTGGTGTGGATGCGACAACCGCATGGGCAAAGGCTTCATCTGGGAATGGTGGCGCCAATTGGGAGACGTGGCACGAGAGGTTGTGCCACATCAACATTCCGATGCTGCAGAAGTTGGTGAAGGATGGGAGCTTGAAGGGGTTGGAGGTGAAGGGGGCAGCAAAGGAGATTGGGAGCTGCCCTACGTGCCTTGAGACGAAATTCACCAAGTTCCCCTTCAGCAGCAGCACGGGACCAGCCAAGGCACCACTCGCGCTTGTGCACATGGATGTGGTGGGCCCTACGAGGGCCCCTTCTCTCTCGGGCAGCCGCTACTTCTTAACCATTGTGGACGACCACACACGTGCGGTGTGTCTACCCTCCTCTCAAGACTAAGGGGGAGGTAGCCGTGGCTGTTCTTAAGGAGTGGATGCCGAGAGCGCAAAAGGAGAGCGGACACAAGGTGAAAGTGATCCGCACCGACAATGGGGGAGAGTTCATTGGCGCTGATTTTGAGGCGGTGCTGAAGAAGAAGGGCATTCAGCATCAGCTCACAGTGCCCTACAACCCTCAGCAGAACGGCGTGGCTGAGCGGTTCAACCGGACCCTGCAGGAAGGTGCTCGCACTCTCCTTGGGCGTGCAGGGCTGCCGGATCCATTTTGGGTGACTGCACTAAGGCAGGTCGTCGTTGTGAAGAACAGGGTGCTGGCGACTGTGGGGGACAAGCAGTGGATCCCCTACACCAAGTGGTATGGGAGTGCACTAGCAATCAACATGCTGAGAGCGGTCGGGTGCATGGTGGTGTTTCATGTGCCGAAGGAGAAGAGGGGAAAGCTGGAAGCTTCTGGGAGATGGGGTGTGCACTTGGGACTTGCTAAGGACCACAAGGGCTGGCTGATATGGGACTTGACCAGCCAGCAGCTGACTGTGTCGAGGGATGTGAAGTTCCTCGAGTCCCTGTACTACAAGGGCCCTGTTCGGTAGCCCCCCCAGTCATACTGTTGGTGCAACCTACGGTTTGCACTCGGCTTGTTGTCCGTGTGCGTGTGCGTGCATGCGTGTGTGCATGGAGTGGTATGAGTGCATAAAATAAATATATATTTCATGCTTATAATGGTGTGTGTATGATGGGTCATGATGTCGAGTGTGTGTGTCGAGTCAATAGCGAGTTATCGCTAGCCGCGTGTTAATGCGGTCATTTGTGTCTCGCGCGCGGTTTCTATTTTGTCGTGTGTCCCGTGCGCGGTTTCTATTTTGTCGCTTGTCGAACGTTAGGCGTATCGTAGTTGTGTGCAGCAGACCCATCAAGAACTCAAGAACCCGAGCCTTGGTTCAAGCTTCAAGTGTTTTTTTCGAAGCTCGTCAAAAGGCTACACCTCAAGATATTGAAGATAGTTACATTACAAAGTGTAGTGTAACATTTCAGTTGGTGTAGGCCCTTGTGAAGGGTAGTTTCGAGACCCTTCTTGGTTGGGGACAGTGTGGCACTGTTCCCCATCACTGTACCTCGGCTCTTGGGGTTTGTAGGAGCTGGGAGTCCTTCCCAACTCGTAACTCTTCCTAGTGCTTCGTAATTGTGTGTCCTAAGACTATGTTGCTGCCATAGTGCCGTTCGTTCAATCTGACGCTGTATCGTCAATTCTCGATGAAATCGTGCGATCAAGTTTGCCTATTGTAGGCCACGTTAAGACGCTCCAGATCCAAGTTGAATGAGGTCAATTAGAGCTGTGACCAGATCGCTATGATCGTTTAAAGCCGTTGCGCAGAAATCCGACTGTGCACTCTATCTTTCGTTTTAGGCACATTGAAGCCTATTGGAGCCTATTGTGACTATAACAAGTGGTATCAGAGCCCCTTGGAGCAGCTACGACGATGGCTGGACCTGAAGAGAGGGGTGGCAGAGGTGCTGGAGGCAATGGAGAAGCCCAAGCACAAGGCCAAGCCCGTGATTCAGCCGTGGCGCCCGTGCAACCTACTCTTGGGCCTTCAAGGGATGAGCCAAGAGTGTTCGGGCTTGACAAGTTCAACGGTGACAACTTTGCTGAGTGGTCCTTCAGAATGGAGAATGTGTTCGACCATTATGACCTGCTGGAGGTGATGGAAGGAACGGAGAAGCGTCCCGAGAACGACCCGGAGAAGAGCCCGTGGGTGCGGAAGAGCGCACAAGGCTATCTCCTACTTGGGCAAGCATTGGGGAGCAACCAGATCCGTCACATCAAGCCTTTCCAGCGTGATCCAGAGAAGGGACCAAAGGCATGGGCTGCTCTCAAGGGTGTACACGCTCCTGCAACAGCGGCGGTAGCTGTGGTGTTGGAACGGCAAATGGCGACGCTACGAATTGAGGAAGATGAACCCGTGGAAGACGGGGTGCAGAAATTCTTCGACTTGTTGACGCGGCTTGAAGGAGCTGATTTGAACTACAGTGAGCTCCAAAAGAAGACCAAGTTGCTGGCCCTACTCCCCGAGTCGTGGTCCTCGCTCATCATCAATTTGAACCGTGATCTGCCCCGCCTTTCGCTTGAAAACGTGAAGCGCGCGATCCTACAGGAGGACTTCCGCCACCGTGACTTGGCGAGTGCGGATGGCGTTGGGACAGCGAGCATTGGCCGTGGATATGGCCGAAGAAAAGGCAGAGGACGAGGGGGAGGAAGATCTGGTGGCAGCAACTTCGGCGGAGGCCGCAGAAGTGGTGGATACGGCAGCGACGACAAGAGCTACGGTCGCGGTCGCGGACGATTTGACGGCGAATGTCACTATTGCGGCAAGACCGGACACATGTGGCGCGATTGCTACAAACTCCCTGAAGGATGGACCCCTGCTCAAGGCCAAGAGGGTAGAGGAGCAGGAGGAGGGAGAGGAAGAGGTCGAGGAGGCCAAGGCGGTCGCGGAGGTGGAGCCGCGAACATGAAGAGTGGAGACAACGACAAGGACCCGAGCGGCGATCGGTACCCGGGCCTATTCTACTTCGTGTCGACACAAGTACCAGCTGGTCCAGAGAAGGATGAAGACCTTGAGGAGCCAGCAGCTGTGGGGAAGGTGACCCTACACCCCCTGGACTATTGGGTGATCGACAGCGGCGCTACCTATAGCATGACACCTCGCCCCGACTTGCTCACCGAACTCGAGCCGTCACCGGTGAAGCACGTCACATCGGCTTTGGGGCAGCGAGCGGAGGTGAAAGGCATGGGCAAGGCCATGTTCAAGGGTGCTGATGGAAAGATGGTGGGCCTCAAGAACGTGCTTTGGGTGCCCAGCCTTGCTGCGAACCTGATTTCCGTGCGGCGATTGGCAAAGGCCGGCATGGACACGTATTCGAGGGTGCCAAGACCTACACCACAAGATTGGCGACCGGATTCTTTGGGACCTTCATGAGGACAGGGATGTCTACAATGAGATGTGGCAGAACCCGGTGGTCCCCATGCCTAAGGAGAGGCAAGTGGCAGCAAGCGTCAGCACCAAGGGTGAAGCGGTTGGTAGCGGCGATGGCGCGAACGGTCGCGCTAAGGAGAATGAGCCCAAGAAGGGCAAACCTGGAGGTACCAGCAAGCCGTGTGACCCTAAGGAGAGTGGTGCAGCAGCCAAGGAGCAGCACAAGGGTGAGGAGAACCCCAAGGCAGCAGCGAAGGAGGAGTACGGAGAGAGTATGTGGGGCGCTATTGCGAGCGCGGCATTCTCCAATCCGACTTCGGCTACGGGGGAGTGTGATTGGCTCACCTTGCATCGGCGAATGGGGCATGTGGCCCTACCCATCTTGCAGCAGCTAGTTAAGAATGAGATGGTTGCTGGCATACGTGTCAAGGGGGAGCCCGATGAGGTGCTTGGCTGCCCAACGTGCTTGCAAGCCAAGTTCACCCGATTTCCGTTCCCTAGTTCGGAGGCAACGGCTAAGGCACCGCTTGATGAGGTGGTGATGGACGTGGTGGGCCCCTTGAAGCTTGGAGCTGCTGGAGCAGAGTATTTCCTCACCATAGTGGATGTCTACACCCGCATGACTTGGGTGTACGTGCTGGCCAAGAAGAGCGACGTGGCTGAAACGTTGAAGACGGATTGGTTCCCGATGGTGGAGCGGCAACAAGACCGACTAGTGAAGTCGATCCGCACCGATCGAGGGGGAGAGTTCCTGAGCAAGGAGTTTGGGTTGTGGCTGAAGAAGAATGGTATTCGGCACTCCCTCACCATGCCATACTCCCCTGCAATGAACGGCATCGCCGAGCGAGCGAACCGGACGATCACGGAGGCGGCACGCGGGTTGCTCATTGAAGCCGGGCTACCCGACTATTTCTGGCCTGACGCGGTGCGGAGCGCGTGTGTGGCCAAGAACAGAGTTTTGACTCATGTGGGAGCAGACAAATGGGTGCCCTATGTGGAGTGGCTTGGCAGGAAGCCAAAGGTGGATATGCTTCGGGTGTTCGGGTGCATGTGCATGGCGCTCGTACCTAAGCATCTACGGCACAACAAGCTTGGTGCCAAGGCGGTGTGGGCCGTGCACTTGGGCATGGCTCAAAACAGCAAGGGGTGGCTTCTTTGGGACCCCTTCACCAAGAAGTTCATGGTGAGCAGGGACTGCAAGTTCATGGAGAACTTCATGTACAAGGATTGGAAGGCGGAGAATGAGGCGAAGATAGGCGTGCGGTTTGGGGAGGTGAAGAGTTCCGGCTTGGAGCACGTGGAGCTGCCTTTGGAGCTGAGCAGCGGCAGCACCACCACAAGGCAATCTTCCCTTGTGAATGGGGGAGAGGAGGCCAAGGATGCAGAGGAAGAAGAGGAGGAGGTGCAGCAAGTGAGCGAGCGTGCACCGACACTCCCTTCCCGCACTACGAGCGCTCCACGGAACCGCACCACACCGCAGCAACGCCAAGGCCTTCAAGTCCCTGCAGCTGAGGAGGAAGGAAGGGGCAAGAGGAGAGTCAGAGCCCCTAATAGGCTGACCTACGATGCGCCGGGGAAGCAGGGCAAGACGGCCCTAGCTGGAGCGGCAATGATGGTCGGAGACGACGAGGAGAGTGACTACGAGGAGTGTGCCTTCGCGTTCTTCTCTCCGGTGGAGATGCCGGGAGAACCAGCAACTCTCAAGGAGGCCTTGGAGAGTGGTGATGCTGAGGAGTGGAAGAAGGCAATGGAGAGTGAGCTGAAGAGCATCGAGGAGAACGACACGTTCGAATTGGTGAAGCTACCGGAGGGGCGTACAGCGGTTTCGTCCAAGTGGCTCTTCAAGATCAAGTCTGACGCCGACGGAAAGATCGAGGAGCTACAAGTCTAGGCTGGTGGCCAAGGGGTACCAGCAGAAGGAGAATGTGGACTACAAGGAGCTGTTTGCTCCTATGGTGAAGCCGACGACGCTGCGAACCCTACTCGCGGGAGCCGCGATCAAAGGTTGGGTGGTGAAGCAGCTAGACATCGTAACGGCGTTCCTCAACGGAATCCTCGAGGAGGAGATTTTCATGGCGCAGCCAGAGGGGTTTGATGATGGCACCGGCAGGGTGTGGAAGCTGAAGAAGGCCCTCTATGGGCTGAAGCAGGCCCCTAGGCAGTGGTACCTGAAGCTGCGCGAGGTGTTGGAGGAGATCGGCTTCACTCCCTCAACGGCCGATCACTCCTTGTTCATGCTTGGCGAGGGGGAGCAGAGGAGCTTCATGGTGGTCTACGTGGACGACATCCTCATCTTCTCACCCTCCTCTGACCTTGTGAAGGAGGTGATGCTGAAGCTGCAAGACAAGTTCAAGTGCAAGTCCCTTGGGGACGTGAACTTTTACCTCGGGCTCCACATCGAACGAGACGTGGAGAAGCGGTGCATGCGAGTGCACCAACGGAAGTACCTGGAGGCATTGGCTGCCAACTTTGGGCAGAATGAAGGCCATGTGGCTACACCCTTTCCTTCTGGGTTCAAGTGTGTGAAGGGACCAGAGGAGGAGAGCGTGGGTGAAGAGGAGAGGCGCCGTTTTCACTCATTGGTGGGCAGCCTCATGTATGCGGCGGTCAACACACGACCGGATGTCGCATTTGCTACCGGGCAGCTGGCTAGGGTTGTGCAATGCCCTAATGAGGAGCAGGTAGCAGCTGGAATGAGGGTGGCCAAGTACCTTGGCCAAACACCGACCGTTGGGCTGCAATACTCGGCGGCGGCACAAAGGCGCCAAAAGGGCGCGGATGGTGTGGAACCCGGGCGTTTGTTCCTCACCGCATTCTCGGATGCTTCATATGCATCAGAACCAGAGGACATGACAAGTGTGGGAGGCTTCATCTGCTGTGTTGGTGGAGGCCCAACTGCTTGGGAGAGCAAGAAGCAGGTTGACCAAGCTTTGAGCTCGGTGGAGTCCGAGTACATGGCACTCTTACATGCCGTACGAGAGATTGTGTGGCAGCGGCGTTTGTTGGCTGAATTGGGGGAGGACCAGCAATGACCTACCCCTCTCTACTGTGACAGCCAAGGAGCCATTGCTCTAGCCAAGAACCCTGTGTTGCACAGTCTGACGAAGCACATGAGGGTGAAGTGGCATTGGACAAGGAGCATGGTGGCCGCGGGTGAAGTCGAGTTGCGCTACGTGAAGACGACGGGGCAGCCGGCAGACATGATGACTAAGAGGCTGGTGGAGCAGCAGCATTGGAAGTGTTGCAAGCTGGCTGGGATGGCTCTGAACTGAGAGAGCAAGTTCCTAAGGCCAACAACCCGAGGGGGAGTTTGTTGGTGCAACCTACGGTTTGCACTCGGCTTGTTGTCCGTGTGCGTGTGCGTGCATGCATGTGTGCATGGAGTGGTATGAGTGCATGAAATAAATATATATTTCATGCTTATAATGGTGTGTGTATGATGGGTCATGATGTCGAGTGTGTGTGTCGTATCAATCGCGAGTTATCGCTAGCCGCGTGTTAATGCGGTCATTTGTGTCTCGCGCGCGGTTTCTATTTTGTCGTGTGTCCCGTGCGCGGTTTCTATTTTGTCGCTTGTCGAACGTTAGGCGTATCGTAGGTGTGTGCAGCAGACCCATCAAGAACTCAAGGATGAGTTTTGTGATGAAGAACCCGAGCCTTGGTTCAAGCTTCAAGTGTTTTTTTTCGAAGCTCGTCAAAAGGCTACACCTCAAGATATTGAAGATAGTTACATTACAAAAAGTAGTGTAACATTTCAGTTGGTGTAGGCCCTTGTGAAGGGTAGTTTCGAGACCCTTCTTGGTTGGGGACAGTGTGGCACTGTTCCCCATCACTGTACCTCGGCTCTTGGGGTTTGTAGGAGCTGGGAGTCCTTCCCAACTCGTAACTCTTCCTAGTGCTTCGTAATTATGTGTCCTATGACGATGTTGCTGCCATAGTGCCGTTCGTTCAATCTGACGCTGTGTCGTCAATTCTTAATGAAATCGTGCGATCTAAATTGCCTATTGTAGGCCACGTTATCACGCTCCAGATCCAAGTTGAATGAGGTCAATTGGAGCTGTGACCAGATCGCTATGATCGTTTAAAGCCGCTGTGCAGAAATCTGACTGTGCACTCTATCTTTCGTTTTAGGCACATTGAAGCCTATTGGAGCCTATTGTGACTATAAAACATACTGCGGTTGGTGTGGAGGACCTTCCATGGCCCACATTCAAACCATGTTAAAGCCCACCATATCGTTATTAGAACACCGGACCTGCTCAGTATGACTTGGCTCCCGAGCACGTGAAAAAACCCAGTCGAAGTGCGGGCAAGAAAACTACCATGAAATTACGAACTCTGGCAAAATCGACCGTCAGTGAAAGTCAAACCCATTTCTGCTTTCCAGTTCCACTCAGGCAGGCCTGCTCAGAGTGGCATTCGCTATATAAATATCTTTTCGGAACAGATAAATCTTTTCAGCCCGATCGTTTAGACAATGAAAGATCATGCCCGTTCTTGAAATTTATTTTCCATATCGAATGGTTAAAATTTGGCGGGCATATTTTTTGTTTGCCAGTCGGGCAGCCTCGTCCAGCAGTAAAATTTACGGCCTGAAATTTCTCCATAGGCACACGGTAACTTCTTGCTTTTGTGGAGGAGACTTCCCTCCAGTGTGACTGGACGCCCGAGGCTACGAAACGTGTCGTAGGCTTCCCCAGTTTGAGTGGGCCCATTGTGACTGGAAGGCTACCGAACAGGGCCAAGGAATGGAAGCAGCAGCAGCAGAAGCTTCCTACGACACCGCTGATCATTGAGGCCGATGAGGTGCAGCGGCCTTCGAGGCAGGTGGAGGTTTCTGTCTCTGAGAAGGAGATCTCTGGAGTGACTGAGGATGGAGAAGAACCTGAGGTGGAGAGCAGCAGCAGCAGCAGCAGCAGCAGCAGCAGCATCATCAGCAGCAGCAGCAGCAGCAGCAGCAACAGCAGCAGCAGCCGCAGCAGCAGCAGCAGCAAGGTGCTCCACAAGGTGCCGCACGTTCGGCTGACCGTCCTAGGAGGGATGTGCGCCCTCCTAACCGGCTGACCTATCCGAGCTTTGGGAAGCCAAAGGTGGTACGAGCTGGGAGTGTGGCCGAGCAGTGTGATGAGGAGGAGATAGCGCACTGCTACTGGGCAGCCGTCCCTGAGCCCAAGACGCTTACCGAGGCCTTGAGTGGGCCCGATGCTGAGAAGTGGAAGCAGAGTGTGAAGGAGGAGTACGACTCACTGCTGGAGAATGAGACGTGGGAGCTGTGTGAGCTGCCCCCTGGTACAAGTATGACCATTTCTTCCAAGCTGATTTTCAGGCACAAGTATGGACCTGATGGGGAGCTGACCCGCTACAAGTCAAGGCTTGTGGCTAAGGGGTTCCAGCAGACGAAGGGGAAGGATTTTGACGACATCTTTGCTCCTGTGGGGAAAGGGACTACACCGAGAACGATGTTGGCAATGGCTGCAAACCGTGGATGGAAGATCAAGCAGATGGACATCATCACTGCCTTCCTCAATGGGATCATTTTGGAGGAGCTGTACATGTTGCAGCCTGAGGGGTTGGATGATGGGAGCGGCAGGGTGTGCAGGCTGAAGAAAGCCATCTATGGCTTGAAGCAGGCTCCTCGTGCATGGTACCACAAGCTGGAGGAGACACTGTGTTGGTGCAACCCTACGGTTTGCACTCGGCTTGTTGTCCGTGTGCGTGTGCATGCATGCGTGTGTGCATGTAGTGGTATGAGTGCATAAAATGAATATTTATTTCATGCTTATAATGGTGTGTGTATGATGGGTCATGATGTCGAGAGTGTCTGTTGAGTCAATAGCGAGTTATCGCTAGCCGCGTATTACGCGGTTATTTTGTGTGTCCCGCGCAGTTTCTATTTTGTCGTGCGCGGTTTCTATTTTGTCGCTTGTCGAACGTTCGGTGTGTCGCAGGTGTGTGCAGCAGGCCCATCAAGAACTCAAGGATGAGTTTTGTGATGAAGAACCCGAGCCTTGGTTCAAGCTTCAAGTGATTTCGAAGCTGGCCAAAAGGGTACACCTCAAGATATTGAAGATAGTTACATTACAAAGTGTAGTGTAACATTTCTATGGGTGTAGGCCCTTGTGGAGGGTAGTTTTGAGACCCTTCTTGGTTGGGGACAGTGTGGCACTGTTCCCCATCACTGTAGCTCGGTTCTTGGGGTTTGTAGGAGCTGGGAGTCCTTCCCAACTCGCAACTCTTCCTAGCTGTTCGTAATTGTGTTCCTAAGACTATGTTGCTGCCATAGTGCCGTTCGTTCAATCTGACGCTGTGTCGTCAATTCTTGATGAAATCGTGCGATCTAAATTGCCTAGTGTAGGCGACGTTAAGACGCTCCAGATCCAAGTTGAATGAGGTCAATTGGAGTTGTGAGCAGATCGCTATGAACGTTTGAAGCCGCTGTGCAGAAATCTGACTGCGCACTCTATCTTTGGTTCTAGGCACATTGAAGCCTATTGGAGCCTATTGTGACTATAACACACTGCTGGCTGGGGGATTCAAGAAGATCGAGTGTGATCACAGCCTGTTTCTGCTACAGGAGAAGGAGCAGTTCCTCATGCTCCTTGTGTTCTGGACGACATCCTCCTTTTCTCCGAGTCGTCTGCGATGATTGAGCATGTGGAGGAGATGCTGGAGATGCAGTTCAAGTGCTCGAAGATGGGAGATGTGAAATACTAGCAGTCCTGCCAAGCCACTCCACATAGGGCACCCATTTGTCTGCTCCCACATGAGTCAAAACTCTGTTCTTGGCCACACACGCGCTCCGCACCGCATCAGGCCAGAAGTAGTCGGGTAGCCCGGCTTCAATGAGCAACCCGCGTGCCGCCTCCGTGATTGTGCAGTTTGCCCTCTCGGCGATGCCGTTCATTGCAGGGGAGTATGGCATGGTAAGGGAGTGCCGAATGCCATTCTTCTTCAGCCACAACCCAAAATCCTTGCTCAGGAACTCTCCCCCTCGATCGGTGCGGATTGACTTGACTAGACGGTCTTGTTGCCGCTCCACCATCGGGAACCAATCCGTCTTCAACGTTTCAGCCACGTCGCTCTTCTTGGACAGCACATACACCCAGGTCATGCGGGTGTAGACGTCGACAATGGTGAGGAAGTACTCTGCTCCAGCAGCTCCAAGCTTCAGGGGGCCCACCACGTCCATCACCACTTCATCAAGCGGTGCCTTTGCCGTTGCCTCCGAACTAGGGAACGGAAAACGGGTGAACTTGGCTTGCATGCACGTCGGGCAGCCAAGCACCTCATCGGGCTCCCCCTTCACACGTATGCCAGCTTCCATCTCATTCTTAACTAGCTGCTGCAAGATGGGTAGGGCCACATGCCCCATGCGCCGATGCAAGGTGAGCCAATCACACTCCCCCGTAGCCGAAGTCGGATTGGAGAATGCCGCGCTCGCAATAGCGCCCCACATACTCTCTCCGTTGTCCTTCTCCGCTGCTGCCTCGGGGTTCTCCTCACCCTTGTGCTGCTTCTTGGCTGCTGCACCACTCTCCTTATGGTCACACAGCTTGCTGGTCACTCCAGGTTTGCCCTTCTTGGGCTCCTTCTCCTTAGCGCGACCGTCCGCGCTATCGCCGCTACCAACCGCTTCGCTCTTGGTGCTGACGCTTGCTGCCACTTGCCTCTCCTTAGGCATGGGGACCACAGGGATCTGCCACATCTCATTGTAGACATCCCTGTCCTCATGAAGGTCCCAAAGAATCCGGTCGCCAATCCTCGCGGTGTAGGTCTTGGCTCCCTTCGAGTTCGTGTCCATGCCGGCCTTTGCCAACCGCCGCACGGAAATCAGGTTCGCAGCAAGTCTAGGCACCCAAAGCACGTTCTTGAGGCCCACCATCTTTCCATCAGCACCCTTGAACATGGCCTTGCCCATGCCTTTCACCTCTGCTCGCTGCCCCAAAGCCGATGTGACATGCTTCACCGGTGACGGCTCAAGTTCGGTGAGCAAGTCGGGGCGAGGTGTCATGCTATAGGTAGCGCCGCTGTCGATCACCCAATAGTCCAGGGGGTGTAGGGTCACCTTCCCCACAGCTGCTGGCTCCTCAAGGTCTTCATCCTTCTCTGGACCAGCTGGTACTTGCGTCGACACGAAGTAGAATAGGCCCGGGTAGCGATCGTCGCGCGGGTCCTTGTCGTTGTCTCCAGACTTCATGTTCGCGGCTCCACCTCCGCGACCGCCACGGCCTCCACGGCCTCTTCCTCTCCCTCCTCCTGCTCCTCTATGTCATCGGGAGTTGTGTTTGGCTCCGTCCTCGCTTGGGCGGAGCCGACCTCGTGGTCGGGTGCGCGGGAGATGCAGCCGACCTGTAGCAGTGGGCACGGGGGCCACTGCATGGGCGCCGAGCAGGTGGACGCCGTCCTTAGTGTCTGGGCGGCGTCCTGGGCATCTGCACGGCGTCCTGGGAGGCTGGACGCCGAGCTGAGCGTCTGCGTGGCATCCTGTGCCCCTGGACGCCGACTGGGGCGTCTGCTGGGCGTCCTGGGCCGACCTGGGCGTCTGCTTGGCGTCCGGAGAGGCTGGACGCCGACCTGAGCGCTTGCTCGGCGTCCCGGGCGTCTGGACGCCGACTGGGGCGTCTGGACGGCGTCATGGGCGAGAGGACGCCGACCAGGACGCTAGGACGCCGACCTGGGGATGCCGGGCTTGGTGTAGTCGGCGTCTGGCAGGGCTGGACGACCAGGCAGGGTTGCCCGGTCGACCGGGATACCCGGGCGACGTGTGCGAAGCTCGCCGGGAAGACGTTTCTGCGAGGACGACCTCGGGGGTGGTATCCCGAGGTCGACATGGCTGGTCGGCGCAGTCGCTGGCGTGGGCTTGATCTAGGCGTCTGCGCTGTGCTCGTGACCAGGCGTGGAGCACCAACCAGCTGCGCGCACCTGCGAAGCAGGTGCACCGTTGTCATGCGGGTGCAACGCTGTGCAGCCGACTTGCTGCAGCGTTGGCGCACCGCAGACTTGCAACGTTGGCGCGCCGCAGCTCTGCAGCGCTGGAGCGGTGCGAGCATTGCTGCGCTGGAACGCGGTCGACCGTGCTGCGCTGGAGGTCGACCAGCAGTTGTGCTAGCTTTGATGTAGTCGTGCGTGTCAATGTTGTTGCAATCATTCTGAACTTTCATTGTTGTCATGTTTTCCTAGTGAAACTCTTGCCAATTCTCCCCGTGAACTAGCAAGTAGTGTGCGCACAAGGAAACGACTAAGGAACGAACGCAGAGATCCCTCTCACACACGTGCCTTCTCCGCAGTAAACCTCCCGTTGCAGCAGTTATCTCCGCATGGTGCGGTGAGCGTGGACGACACCGCGACGTAGTTCAGTCTAGCCGACTTTGCACTTCCCGATTGTGTTCGTAGGCCGGCAGCTTTGCGTTAGTCACCATGGTAGGCGCCGTAGGTGACGCCGGGGTGGTGGACACCCTGGAGGCACGGCTGGAGAACGCGAGGAGAAAGCACGAGGCCAACGAGTATGGCGACCTGCCGTGGGCGGTCGTCGAGGCCGGGCTTTGAAGCATGTGGGCGTCGGAGCACCCTTCTCGGCCTGCTTCTCCTCGACCGGTGAACACCGAGGGCGGCGTCGACGTGGGCGTCAACGCCGGGAGTGGCCAAGTCGGCAGCAGTGCGGGAGGCACGTCGAGGCAGAGAGGTGTGATTCACGCCGACGAAGTCGGCGGCGTTCAGGCGCGAGGGATGCAGTCGTCGGCGGCTGCAGGCTCTTTGCAGGGCGACGTCGGAGGACGACGAAGCGGATTGACGCCGATGTCGGCGTCCCAGGTGACGGCGGGCGGGATTGCGCCGAGTTGTGGCTACTTCAAGTTCACGCCGGACAGGATGTCGGTCACCTCGCCGCTGGTCGGTCGACCCGACATTCTCACCTGGAAGGAAGCTATCGAGCCCCAACTGGAGATGGCCGGGCTAATCAGCTTTGCTCGAGGTACTGTGGCAACGCCGGGCGACCCCGACCTGCGTGCGGAGTTCCGCGCTGTGCAGCTGTTGACCTTCACGGTCATCTCACGGTGCTGCTCGCCGGGCGTGCAGATCGCCTTGAAGTGGTGCAGGGAGTACCTTGACGCCGGGCACCAGGCGTGGCACTTCATCGAGTCGACGTACCAGGTCACCGACGACCTGTTCATCGCCCAGCTTGAGGGGCAGCTGACGCACCTGCGTATGGGCGACGAGGAGACGGCGACCGACTACTGCAACCGAGCCCGGCGAATTCTCGCCACCATCAGGATGGCTGGCGCGCAGTACTCCACGGCGTCGTACATCACCCATGTGATGCAGGGGCTCTCGAGCAGCTGCAACCCCCTGAAGCGGCTGTCAATGGCGCCGAGCACGAGGGCGACGCTCAACGAGGACAACTTGACCTCGTATATCCTGCAGGACGAAGCGATGCAGGAGGCTGAGCGGTCCCAGGAGCTCCTGGCGCAGGTGAACTACGTTGCCCCGGCGAAGCAAGGTAGCCGACCAGGGCAGCGCGGCAAGCCGAGCAGCGGAGGTAGCGGCAGTGGGAAGCCGGCCAAGGACGCCGACAAGGGCAAGTCGGCGAAGGAAGGCGGTCGCGGAGGAGGAAGTCGGCGTCGGGAGTGCTGGATCTGCCACAGCCCCGACCACCTCTCCTTCGAGTGCCCCGACCGCAGTGATTCCGACGACGACGACGCCAAGGGAGGCCGCGGGAGGTCGGCCAGCCGTCGTCCACGTCGAGGCAACCAGCCGCGCAAGGAGAAGCAGTCGACCAAGTCGACCTCGGCGAAGGACGCCGACTCCTCTGCTGGCGGCAAGGGGAGCGACGACAAGTCGGCGTCGTGCTCTCTGGTCGGCGTCGTGGAGCCGACCGTCTCACTGGCGCCGGAGGCCGGTGAGGATTTCCAAGCGATGGCAGCAGCAGTGCAGGCGAACCCGGCGGTGGTCCTGCTGGACAGTGGCTGCTCCCACCACCTGATGGGGACGAAGGAGGTCTTCGCCGACATGGGGCCGAGTGGCAACGTGAAGCACGTGCGCGGCTTCAATGGGGCGCTGCAGGACGTGAAGGGACGGGGCATGGTTGCGCTGCAAGGGGAGGCCGGGAAGCGGGTGCTCATCCCCGACGTGCTG